CTGAAATCATCAGTCTGCAATCTTCAAAAGTGTGATCAGTGACTGGCACATTCAAAGCACTGAAACAAAATTAAGGAAGAAGAAAAATCAGTTTCTTATATTAGAATTTTTTTTATATTAGAATTTTTTTTTGTTTGACTGTTTCCCTTCTCTCCCTCAGTTTGGCTTTAATGCTAATACACAAACCAAATGATAATTCATTCTTGCAGTGCTGCAGGTAGGATAAAGCAATACGTAACGTTTTGTGAACCTACGTCATGGCAGCATCATGGTGTTTTAAGATTTACAGTCTTGTAAATGCAGCCCAGTAACCTAGGAGAACAAGCCACCCACTTATTCTTGCCAAACAAATAAGGGAGCAATTTATTCCAGCTTTCCATGAATTCAACATACTATATTCCAATGTAAGACAACCTTCTTCATGCTCCATGTCAAAACAATCAGGGTGCTTTACTGTAGGAATTTGACACCTCTTAGTGAAAATCTAGAGGAATTCTTATATATAGCACCTGGGAGTTGACTAAATTGTACTTTATAGCTAGGATATATATGGAATTGCTGGATATAAAAGGTCTCAAAGATTTTATTCATGACTGATTACGCACGTTGCCATGGTTTGTCGGACTCTGTTGGCAAAAATAATGGGATCATTCTTTTCTTCCTCAGTAGGAACATGAACAGGCAGAAACTGAAAGAGACAGTTATCCAATCAATTCAGTAGTCACCACTTTATTAGCAACATGGACAATTTCTTGTTATTATTTGGAACTGGGGGAAAACAAAAAAAAAAAAATCAGCCATGCAATGAACAAACTGGACACTAGAGGTCTCGACCACCTTAGAAACCACTCAGGATCTTCTCCCTGGCCAACAAATGATATTTAGTCCAAACCTCCCTCTCAAAGATTGGTAGAAGCTGCTTTTATGTGAAAAATCAAACCCTCAAAGAAGGCAAATATAATAAGTGCATACTTAATTAGAAAATTAAATGCTGCATTGGTAAGAATGTGAGCCTGAAATACTGTACACTCCCTTTCAAACTTCCTTTGTAAGTGTTGTTACAGACTGGAATATGAATCAGCATCTGTTTGTTTCCAAAGCAGTGTATTTTGTTCTTTGTACTTCAGTCTGCAGTGTTCGCTTGCAGCTCAGTTTACCATGCCTTTTCTCAGTCACGGTTATAATTTATCTCAGTTCTGCTACTCCCCACCCTCCAATCTTGCCCTTAAATCCTAGAATACAGCAATTCTAGAATAAGTATAAGGTGTTGCCCATGGTTCATTGGAAGACACAGTTGCTAATTATGTGTCGATGTTTCTTCAGTTATAGGGCAGTTGCTGGTGATGCACTAATACAGTGTTAACTGTCCCATACAAACGCAGTCCATCCTGAACAGCCTTTTTATGTTTGTTTTTGAGGAATGCTGCCCCTTTATGATTAAAACCAGCAAGTTTATGGAACTGATTATCTGTCAAGTAGCCATAACAATTTGCTGTTTATAGCTAAGAAGTTTTCTCCCCTGTAACAACAGCAGAGGTCCAGCTGCTCACATGATGATTTGAGATTTCATTCCTTCTGTAAGCAGTTGCCAGCTCTGTTCAAGTCTGACACACATCCCTGCTTATACAACTCCCCTTCAGAAGTCACATATCTCTTAAATCGAGGAAGCACAGGCACACTGTACAGATGTAGAGAACTGTGTCATCATTGGGTGAGATGAAGTCACAACTCTGAGAAGTTTATCTATGCAAACATGGGTCATGGTCTTGAGAGTGGTCATTACATCATCTGAGGCTAGGGTCTTGCTCAGACAGCAACCTAAATTTCTGGTAGGTTAAATACCACCTCCATCCCCTTCAAAAAACCCACCTACAATTATTCATAAAACCAGTCTGCCAGAAACCACAGCTGAAGGATTTGGTTTCTCAGCCTCCTGAGGTGGCACACATTATCTCACACACACCCAGCTCTTTATCTGGTGAAGACCAGTAAGGATACCTTCCCTGTCAAATTGCAGTCCTGTAAGAAAATATTCTTCACAACTCTTTCAGTAGCAACAATACTTCTCTGATCTGCTGTTGACCTAGTCTTTCTTACAGAATTTGCCAAATGCTGTATCTTCTGCTGCTCTAAAACTCACTGCCAGG